CCTCAGTACGCACGCTCGAGTGAGAGCAAGACTGATCATTGTGCTGTACCTGTAAGTAAAGCGACACGGGTCTACATACAGTACAGTTAGTAAGGTGAACATGAACGGGGGGAAATGGGATCGGCTTACCCTCAGTACGCATGCTCGAGTGAGAGCAAGACTGAGGGCAGCGCGATCGCGAGACGTCGAGTATAAGTGGGGGGCGAGAGGGCGAGCGATAGGGCGTCTAAATGAGAAATTGCCTAATCGAGAATGCTTATGTAATACTGACCGCGCGGAACTCGTCCGCGCGGCAGACATGAAGACGATAACGAACGAAACAATCAGAAAACATACACTAGACGATATGGGGCCGGTCGCAGACAACGACGCTCGCATTGCGTGCTCCAACAATCGGGACCGCGTTCACGGTACGCCTTCGGGCCGAATGTGCTATGCGCCGGTGCTGACGATGAATGGCGTTTTGTTAGGCCATCGCGCTCTTCCAGATGGTCCGCGTTCCTCTGAACATCATCCCGTCGTGGGTAGTCCAGATTCTTCAGGTCGGTAGCCGACTGTGCTTCGCGCTCGCGGCATCCACTGACGAGAGCCCTGGCAAATTGCGACGTACCTCGACAAAGGGGAAGTCAACGAGCAGGTCTCCACACTGAAGAAGGGCCACGTGCCTCCCTCCGAGGAAGGTGACCCCGGCCTCGGGATCCTAAACGGGACCTTCAAATGGAACGAGGTCGAGGAAAAGAAAGAGGGTAGTAAGGGTAAGGGGAAAGACATCCACAAGAAAGCCAAAGGATCCGACAGTGTGAACAGCGCAGACGGCTCTGGGGATGACACAGGTCCTCCAGGGGAGGTGTCCACTATCATCGATAGCGCGTCCCCCATGGCCGGCAGCACCGGCGACCACCGCTTTGAGCTCAAGGATATCACCGTCATGTTCCCTGACGGTCAACTGACCGTGGTCACTGGGCCTACAGCGAGCGGGAAGACTGTGTTGCTGATGGCACTGTTGGGCGAGCTCACGACTCTTGAAGGCCGCATCGTATTGTCGAAGAACGTGTCCAAGGTGGACAAATACGGGCTGGCGCAGACGATCTCATACGCGGCACAGTCTCCGTGGTTGCGTCACCAGTCGATCAAGGATAACATCCTGTTCGGGCACCAGTACGATGAGGAGCGGTATGAGGCCGTTGTGGAATGCTGTGCACTTAAGCCGGACCTGGAGATGCTCGAGGATGGCGATGCAACTGAGATCGGTGTCCGGTAGGTGCCGAGTAGTCTGATGCAACTGTATGTGGACTAAAAATGTCTTGCATGCGCAGAGGTGTGAGCTTGTCAGGTGGTCAAAAGGCTCGGTACGACCTACCTACGTGTCTTGCGTCGCATGCGAACTGAAGACATTCTTGTAGTGTGGCTCTGGCACGGGCCGTTTATGCTGTGGGTTTTCGACACCAAAGATATCTGAGACATGATGCTGATCGCTTGCCATCCACAGCACACCAAATATGTCCTCCTTGACGATCCGTTGAGTGCTGTGGTAAGTTCCATCGATAATTCTTACCTCAACACAATCCTAATGGGTGCCACAGGATAGTCACACGGCTCGTTTCCTCTACGAGAAACTATTGAGAGGGCATCTACTCGCCAACCGCACGGTGGTGAGTAACACGCACTCTCGGTTGTGTGTCGATATCATACATATCTAATGGACGCGATGTAGATCCTAGTTACACATCACGTCAAACTCGTACTTCCGGGCATGCACTACCTCGTGCGCATGTTAGACGGGCGGATCGACACTCAGGGCACAATCAAAGACCTCCGTGAGAGCGGCGTGCTCAACGACATCACGCAAGTCGAAGAGATCGAGGCGCACAAGCACGAGCAGGCTGTGGAAGAAGCTGAAGGCAAGGAGGATCCCAACACGGAGATTGATGCTGAGACGAAAGGTGGCACAGAAGAGGACAAGAAGAAACCAAGAAAACTCGTTGAAGAAGAGCATTGTGTCGCGGAGCTAGACTCGACGCAACCAGGCAACGCCTACAACAAAGAAACTAATACAATCTAACCCAAGGGCGGTGAGCGCGAAGGCTTGCTAACGCCGAGCGTAGACTTTCAAGTCAAATCTAGCCCAAGGACCAAGTTAATATTATGCTGAGTAAGAGAATACAAAGGATGGCTTACCTAGCCCAAGGACCAAGAGGTCAAGATGAGGGCTAGGGTCGCTACAGGTGGGGTTTATATACTGAGTCAGGGGAGCCAAACATGTACAAACGTAAAGGTGGTCTGTGCGCACATTAGTGCCAGTCTGCAGGTGGGGGTCAGGTGACTGGTCACATGCTCTATCTACTGGTTCTAAGTCTAAGTGTTGTACAAATGGCCGTAGAAAATCAGGAAAAATGACGGAAAAATNTAAGGGGTCTCGTCGTCTCCACGACA